GTTATCTACAGCAAAAAGAAGAGTCGTAAGAACTGTGCTACAGGATGTCTTTACTGCAAAACCATTTTAAGATACTTGAGTTAATCCTACTGGATTGAGTAGAGCCTAAGTGTACATTAAAAATTTACTGTTCTGTCCCTACTCTTGCAAACTAATGATTTGACTCCATAGCAAATGACCATCAGGGTGGCTGCAGATCGGCCCCCTCTCACGCTAGCACTGGTATGCCTGGGTGAGTTGTCACCAGGAAGCCAGTAGGAATGTTCAGTTGGGAGTGAAGTACTGACCTTTTAGTGCAGTCCGATCATTCTATCACACTGTAAACCTGCACCTAGTAAGATGGAACATACTCATCAGAGAGTGTGCTTTTCAGCAAAACTGAAGGTTTAGGTCTTGTAGAGTTAATCATTAGACAAGCAGAAACTCAGCACAGATTTGAGTGTCCTAAGGCAAAAAAATCAAATAAATGAAAAGTACAGCATGAGAAATGCACCTGCAAGAAAGCACCTGCAAGTGTTTCCTTTCTTTACCTCTTCTCTAACATACGTAGAATTAATATGACATGCCAAGCAGACTCAATAATACACGTAGTAAGGATAAGACAGTACAAAAAGAAATATTATCTTGAAATCTGCATTTCTGGCTGGATGCTATTTGGCATGCTGACAGATTCTGTCTTTATTAGTCCATTGCTTGAATTACCTAATTGCTGAATTTTATTAAAATAGATTTTAGCTCCCTAAAAGTATAGAGAACATTCAATTTAACATTAAAAATCATTCAACAAAGATGATGTCTGTTAAGAACCTTGCTATTTAGCATTACTCTTTTAGAAGTCTTGCAGGGTCCAGGACTTTAACGGGGCCATCTGCAGCAATTTCATCTATGTCAATTTGGGCCAAACTCTGTAATATAATTACTCCATTAAAAATACAAGATATTTCACAAAATTGGTTAGCAAACTGCTTCTGCAGTCCTCAGGGGGAGATTAGATAAATCGTATCCTTCTCCCATTACTTCAGCAACAGAAATCAGAAAAGTTCTATTTACAATAGTTTTTACCCTATAAAAATACATTTGTATGCATTACATGTGTAAATGCATAAGCTATAGTAATTTTTTTCTACACACATTAGCTACTGCACAGAAATAGCTTCCTTTTACACATCTCTACAAGCATTACCTCAGTGATTCTAAGATTTACAGAAGTATAATTTTTTTTTCTTATTCGAGCTTTCTGTACATCCAGCATCAGAATACAACCAACATTCAAGCAGAGCCGATAACAGGGAGGAGGAAACTATGAACTGCCTTAACCTGCTCAGTAGTTAGTGATTTGATTGGCTTCTTGTGCAGGGTCTCCATGGGGAGAACAGTACAAGGTAGCCACTCATCACATTATAGATCAAACAGTTCAAGTGCACAGTGTTTTATTAGTTCTCACATCCTATTTCACAGCTTTCCACTTCAGGAGGCCTCAATTCCCCTCTCAGCAAAGTTGGCACAAGAAAGGAACAAACCTGTCTGTGACTGTGACAAGCTGGCACGAAAATTACCCCCCCAGAAGAGCAGGTGCTGATGCTACACAGGAAGAGAACTTACCACCTTCCTCAACCTGAGGGGCCTATGGTGTTGTCTGCAAAGGGCGAAAAAAAGACACGGCAATTAAATCCCATGCAAATTAAGAAAAAATTTTACATCTTCTCCACAAAGGCTATTAACACGCTACCAACTTCAGCACAGGTTTCCCCCAAAGTATTACCAATCTCCAACAATTAACATTTTCTTCTAAACCTCTGTCGTCTTCCCCTGCCTTAGTACTCTCCAGACACCAGCACATGGCAGCGCAGATGCTGGGGAGAGCTCAAGGAGAGCAGCCCATTGAGGAAACCCCCCACCGACACCACAGGCGCCATGTAGGGAATGAGGGAACCACCACATTGAAAGGCTTCTGCTCCCCTCTAGACCTCAGGATCAGGGGTGGCTCGGCAGCTCTGGGCAGGCTGCTTGGGTGCCTGCACTCAGCTCCTCCCTCCCGCCCAGGCAGATCCAGCCTTTCCTCTCGCCACCGCCCTGCTCCATGGTCCCTTTCCTTCGGCGCGGTGCCCACCACCGTAGCACAGTGCCTCACCTACCACGAAGCTTCCAGCAAACAAAATGGCGCCGTGGAGAGGCCGCCATGGGAGACATCCAATGCCCGCCCCAGGAGCCACCATCTCTCAAGGGCTGCTCCTGCTGCCAATCAGCATGCCAGCCTATCAGAGCTCACCCTGGGACCCACAGGCTCTGCCCCCGCTCCTCAGGACAGAGGAGGGAGCCATGAGCACCACTGAGGCAGTGGCTGCCGTGGCATGGCTTCCCTGGGGCAGGGAGGTGCACCCGACAGGGTTTTCCTCTTTGCAGCCATACAAGGAGAAGCCTGAAGAATTCGGGGTGCTCCACGCTGCCCCTCCGCAACTAAATCTATCTTGGGCAATCATCTGCATGTTAAACTTCAAAGTCAGCTCAGTTCCACTCATCTTGCGTGAGAAAACACTTCAATGTTCCACCCACATCAGGCAACAAATATGGTTTCTTAACAGGGGCAATCATGCTATTCTCACAGTCCTTGCTTTTGGACGATTCCTTTAACTGGACTGCAGCTGTGTGGCCAGATTATCCAAAGAAAAACCTTCAGTACAGGATTATACTTTGTCCTATTTCATTAGCATGCAGAAAATGCAGCAAAATCAAATCCTCATTCCTCAAAGTCATTATGGACATGCAGCAGTAAATTCTAGCAAAATTCTGAAGGTTTTTTGTATGCAGTGTCCTTGATTGCCTTTGGTAATACAGAAGGACTAACACTGCACAATAAAAAAAAAGGGGGGGGGGGCGGGGAGAGGAAAATCTAAAATAGAAAGCAATCCTCACTGTGCACACAGATGCCACATTTTTGGTTTGGTTTTATTTATTTATTTATTTTTATTTCAGAAGTACTTTCAGTTTAGTTAGTTGGCTTGCACTAGCTTCCTTGCTCAATCAGGGCACCGGGCATGTGGCTGGGGTAAGCTGCTTGCCCCATGGCACCAGCCCCTCTCCCACCGAAGGCTGAAAAACCTCGCCGGATTAAACTCTTACATTAGGCACCTCTGTGAAGTGTCTAAAGTTAGGCTGGATGAACACAAGCCAAGCTGTTGGAACAGATGGAGTGAAATCCTCCTCTTGATAACAGGAACTTTATATCACTGCCATGGATAAGAAGGGCAGCTAAAAAAAGTCAGGGAGGTAGTTACATAAATTTCAAGAAGGCTTACCAGCAATGCTTAAAGGTAAAACTTTCTCATAGATGTTGAATATCCACTTCCAGCTGCAGACCCTGAGCAGCCAAGAAGTTCTGCAACAAAAATGAGATCGTAACACTAGAGCTACCACAGTACGAGACCATAGGAACTTAATGATGCAGCAGAAACATGCAAAGCATTAGGCAGTCGGAGCCTGGAGCACAAGAGACTTAAAACCCAGCATCAGCAGAGTGGCACTTACCTTGAGTTCAGTGCACAAAACCAGCTGAGAGGCATACGTGAACAGAAAGGTGATTGACTAACAGCAAATAACTAACCATCTTACTAATGCCAAAAAAATGCTACCAAATACACTCATTCTTTTTTGCTTACAGGTCTGTAAAATACTTGTGCTTATAGCAGCTCTGACTCAGGGTTTGGTTTTTTTTTTACCTTGCTTTTTCATAGTCTTGAGCATCTGCAATTTCATCTTCCTCATCTTAAAAATGACCTGCTTCCTTGTGTTTCACATGTAATTGCGCTTCAAAAGATGTGTGTCTCAGCACAGGATCCATTTTTCTTAATTAGCTGTGGATATTTTAGATGGAGTCAGATGTGAAATACATTGGAAATACTTATTTTTGAGCATCAAAATTCTTCAGGTAGATATCTAAAATAATCCATAATGACTGGAAATTGGCTATAAAAATGTTTCGTATAAAATGCTGTGAAGCAATTCGTTTCTCATTATGTATGTTCCATGTCCACGCTAAAATGGGGAGTATATGCTGCATGCAATGTTGAGGTAATGTTTACTTAGACAATGGAAGAGATCTGAAAAATAAAGCAACTTTTCCCCTCCCTTCAAGTACCTCATTTTTGGAGGAAAGGGGAAAGTACACCATTACACTATTTCCCAGTCCCTTTGGGGAAGACAAGTGGATGAAGTGCTTTGGACTTGGGTTGTTTCTTCCTCTCCCCTATTTACGTTCAAACTTTCTCCAAAAGTTGTAATTATTGAGAAATGGCAGAGCTGAAGTTACCAAGGGATGCACCTCTGTGAAAGACAAAGCAGCAAAGACTACGTACAACCTTATAGTGCCATTCTCTTAAAGCAGAAGTATGGTTAGAAAAGTGACAGCGTGATAACAGCCTCCTAGAGCAGGGCTGCTTTCGGAGTCACCTTTAGTCATTTTGGTGACAAAAATACATTTTTACTCCTTATTATCTCTGCAGAACACACACAGCTAGGGGAGCCTGCGCTGCACTGTGACCCAATTAGTGCAGTCATCCAGTCGCACAGCTAAACTCTACATTCAGCTATGACAAGAAAACCCTAGTGAAGATGACGTGAACGGCACCTGACCCCACAGAATTTGTTACTGATGATGATAAGCAGAGCTAGCCTACATTTATTTTGCAGATCCAAGCAGAATTTGGAGGGCCACGGAAAAAAAAAGTTATAAATTGGAGATGTTTGAGAGATACTGAGTCCCCAGCTTCAAGCTGCACAAGGTCACTTTTGCAGTTTCTTTTTTTCAAAGCAAACCCTAGATTTTATTATATAAAGCGGTGTTGGCAACACTTAGAATATGCAGTCTTTTTTAGCAAAGCCCTTGGAAGCGTGACTATAGGAGAACCTTGCAGATGCTACTGCTTCTACTTTAAGAAGAGAATTAGTTTTATATTGCAAAATATTTAATTAATTTCCTGTTAAAATGAAATGAAACAACAAAATAGTTATACAATTTTACTAGTTTATATTTCAATTCATAAAGTATACACACTGCAACTATGCTACCACAATGTCCACGCATCTAATATTGATGGAGTTACAGGTTGGTTTTTTTTTTTGGTATTAAACAATAGAGATAATGTATGCAGTTAAGGAAAAAAGCTTGGACATAGCATGTTCTATTCCGTAGTTACAGAGTACATTAGCTAGCATTAGTACAGTAAACAAGAAAAAGGTAGAAATACAAAATAAACCAAATATCTTTATATACAAACCAGTGCCTCTTATTGTTACCAGCTTATACTCACACTGCACACAAAATTTATCCACTGATGCAATAGATACTTCAGCATAACACAAACCATTATAAATTAAAAAAATTACAAGGTGCAAAACTCCATTCTACAGCTTTCTGGTGAGAACTCAAGACAATCCAATGAATAAGAAATCCAAGCACGTTTAGCACCTATTAGTGCAACTGCATCGAGCATGAAAAATGACCTACACAACCTCTGAACATGTTACCAGGGAAGCGAGTTGGATAGCTATAAGATGCTTGCAGCTACACTCACGCAGTGATTTTTGCCTCATATATACCTCAGTTTATTGTTTCTTTGTCCCATTCATACCCATGTGCAAAACTAAATCCTGGAAGCTTTCTCAGAGCTTCACAGAAGGCCTGCTACAGCCGGGTAAAAACAAACAAACAAAAACAAAACAAAAAACCTGACAAAAAACAAACAAAAAGACTCAATTAAATGTCAGACTATCCACATACTTAGTACTTATTAGCAGTCCTGGTGTTGGGGATTTTAACGCTGTTGATATGTGGATCAAACAATATGACACAGAAATGAAACGGAAATTTGCCAAGAATTCTGATTATTCTTGTCTAGCACTTAGACAAGTCTCCCAGCCTCAGGTTGTGAATTTGTTTGGCAGCCCATGCCAAAAAAGCCCAGAGTTGCATAGAATTGATTAGTAACAGAAAGAAATGCCAAACACAGAGAGATGGATGCTGCGTTTACTAAAACAAAGTGGGGTTGCTCGACAGGAATGCTGAAATCATCCCCATTCATAAAGCAAAACATGTCACCTCCTACTCTCCATATCCTACCTCTGGGGACTGCTTTCTGGCACTGATGTAGTTCTTGCTAAAGTTGTCTTTTTTTGTTGTTTGTTTTTTCCTTTTTTTTTTAAATTTTTTTTTTTTTACTTTGTTAGTGACACTTTTCGTTTCAAATAAAATATTAAAAAAGGTTATAACTGTAAAAAAACCTATCATATGTAAACTTAACAGTTAGGGTTTGGTAAGTTCTCGTACCTAGTCTGTGAAAAGCCTCCAGCCAGACCGCAGAATGGAGTGTTTCTCTGAAGAGCTTCAATCTAGCTACATCACCTGTTAAATATCAGTAGTATGAAGTTCCCATGTCTAGCAATAAAACCTTTCTTGTGTTTCCATCCTCTTTATCACTGACCTATTGAAATCCTGACATGCTGTGTTTCTATTTTATTTACACTCTGGTCCTCTCATGTCACAGAATGAAACATCTGGCCAAGGAAGGCAACAAAAGGTGTTGTGTTAAGAAGGTGTGTTTGACAGAACTGCTTTTCAACAAGTCTCTTTTCCTTGGACTCCAGTCACTGTTTTTATAGAGCTTATTGTTCTGTTGAACCATGTTTTCTTTGCAGCTTGTACTTCGTTCAATGCCAGACCCAAATGGTGCTCCAAATCCTGCAAACAGAAGAGTAATTTCATTAACTTGTTATGTATTCGCAGTACAAGGTTATATGAGTTAAACTTAGAAGCCTCCAGGACATCTACAATCTCTTGGCCACTTTAGAAGTTAAACAAGTCTTACATAAATTAAAAGTAGCACAACAAGCTGATGAAGGAAAAAAAAATAAAAAAGCTTTGAAAAGCAAAACAAGACTTGTGTCATTGCCCCCAGTGGAACATTCAGCTTTCTTCAGTACATCCAAACCCTTTAATTCTTTCCTATCTGAGAAGGAGCTATTCCCACAGAAAGCAGACTTTCTACTAACTAATTTTTACCTTTCTGTAACAAGAAGCACTGGCACACCAGTTTTAGGCTAAAAGAACAATGTTGTCATATTTTACACAAATACCTCAAATACCTGGAGTGCTTTCCAATCATGTTTTCAGAAACATGTCTAACATTTGTCACATGTTACTTCTTCATTTAACATTGATTGTGAGAGAAAGAAATGCATGATTCAGTTCTTTGTCAGAGCTTGGATTTCTTCCAAGAAGTTGCAGAAGATCAGTCAGTAAGTACTGCACTGCAGCCAGGCAGCTGTCTGGAAGTTGTAGTAGCTGGTAAATACAGTTCATGCAATTCCAATTATTTTGTCTGCATACACTAATTTTCAGACCCAATGTTTGGTTAAATAACCCATGCAGGAAATAGCAGGTTACAGTTTCAACCAACAGGATCTGTTTCAATCCCTCTACAACACACTTTTCTAGGAATGCAGACATACCATAGAGACTACAAAATGAACCTCCAAAGCATTACCTGTATTTTACATTCCGCCTCCACAAGCTGCAACTTGGTCTGGGCCAGCTCAAGCTCCATTTCCCTCAGCTGGTTTTTCAGCGTTTCCTTCTCCTCATCTGTGTCCTCATCTGAACCATCCTTGGCAGAACTAGCAACCTTCACACGGCCTTCTTTATTGAAGAACTCCCGGCAATGCTCACAGTCATCCACTTTTTGCTAAAGTAAATACCTGATTGTGAATGCTTGCATTGAAGTGCTGGTGATATGATCAAAGCCTTTTCCTGCCTCTGCTCTGGAAGAGCAGCACAACACGAGAGGGACCACTAATGACTTGCAAACTCAGGAACTTTTGGGGAAGCACAGCCAAGCAGGAACTCCTGCCACCCCCAGATTTATGGGCTCTGGAAATGCTGCTGTATTTTTGGTAACACTGTATTGCTACAATAATGGGCTCTGTACTGCCTGCATGTTACTTTATGGTAAGAGACAGTCAGAGAAATCTCCTCCAGAAAAAAAAAGACCCCTCAACAAAATTAACAGTTATTATTGCCCAGCATCAACATTAGTATGTAACCAATATAGCATGGGAGAGAGCTGATGGTTACTCATCTCTTCTCCAAGCTCTCCCTCTTAAAATCTTCTTTCCAAAACTGTAGGTCACTAAGGAACTCTCAGCCACCATTTTAGTAATGAAATAAGTATGTGCTTTCTGTTATGATTTTGCTAAGAGATTTAAATGTAGACTGTGGATCTATCTGGTCTCTTACCCGTATTTTCTCAATTTCAGCTTTATTTGCTGTTTGTTGCTTTTCCAGTCGCTCACTCAGCTGGGAACAAATCTGACAAGCAAAATTATGTTACCAGACCATTTATAAATGTAAATTTCCTCCCAAATGAATGCTAAAGCACAAATAAATGCTACAGGAATATTAACATGGATAGTCTGAGGGCTCTTAGAAAGCCAGGAAAATTGGGATGCTGCATTAAGTTGTCTCGTTGTACATATTCTCATTCTCTACAGATTATTCTATGCCCACAGGAAAAGGTGCAGTTTCAACGTAAGTAATTAGCAGTCTGGCCTTGCTAAAGAAGCCAGAAAAGGTTAGGAATAGCATGGCTCTCTTTGTTGCATGATGCAGACTTAAGAATGTTTTGAAGGTTATGGGCCCACTAAAAAGATACATGAATTTGCTCCCTTGATACCTTATGATCAGGAGCTTGAATTCCAAAGCAAAATCTTTGAAAGGAAAAAGGCATCTTATTTATTTCTGAACTGCAGTTACCATTCGATTGAAGAAGGGAAGCTGGGAGAGAATGGTTTTTTTGGAATGAGGTGAACCTTTGATATACAAGAGCCCACCTGAACAACGTTAGGCTGTAACTGTGGCTGTGGTGACTGATGACCTACAAATACCTACATCAGGGGCAAACAGAACTGACCACCAAGCATCAGGATCTCAGCAAAAGAAAATGCAAAACGAACCACAAGCTTCCCATTTAAAATAGCTAAAATGTCTCCTCAAATGCATGACATAGATTACACTTATTTCTAATAATCTCCTAAAATACCTGAGAAAGTCTTGCAATTTGATAGCAAACCACATCATCATTAAGTTGTACTTACCTGTTTGTAGTCACCAATAATAGAGCTGTTCTTTTTGATCTCTGACTCTGCCTTATCTAGTTCCCTACGACACATTTCCTTCAGCTGCAGAAAAAAGAAAGTAAAGGGTTTATATATTTGTACAGTCTGAAAAATAACCAGGCGGTATTTCCTCCTTCTCCTTAACCTCACTGTTATACTCTACACCAGGGAACAATGGTCTAGCTCAGCTCCATGCAGACAAGGAAAAGCCGGACTTTGGTGGCCATCATTGTTAGAAAAATTGACTAGCTAAGAGAAGAAGAAAGTATTTAAGAAACATGCTGACAGCTGAAGTCCTATACTACCTCTCTGTGCAGCAATCTCTGGCACAGTCTGTGCCTTCGTGACTTCAACTTAAAAATTCACTACCCTGTGAAGCACCTGGCAGGAAAGCAAAGAATTCTGCTTTGCTGACGTCCTTTACACTACAGAAGAAGGACAAACATTACTTAGGACATTAAGCCCTTCCCACACTTGTCACTTTTTTTTTTTTCCCCAATTTCTGTACTGCATAGAAATGTGAAAGTGACAGAAATGCCCCTAACCTGAGCTGATTCTTCTTCTAGGCGCCTCTTTTCTTCTTCTGCATCAATCAACTTCTGTTTGGTCATTAGCAGTTCTTTATTCAGAGCATCTGCCTTTTCCTCCGCCTGAAACACAAAGAGCGGAGTACAGCACTGAAGAGAAGCTTTCTTGCTGTGCCGATGCTGCTGAGCAGCCATGGGCACCGGATCCAGTAGGACACAGCCAAGATTGCAGTCTTTTAATTCTCCTTAATAAGGGTCTGTTCCTTGTTATTAACAACAACAAAACTTTATTCTGAAAATTATTTTTCTAAAAATTACCATCTGCAATGTCAAATCAGAAACAAATCACAATTAACAAAGTATACCACTACACTCCGTCACTCCAAAACTCCTCCTTGAATTCAGTGATTAGTTTTAGCAAAACTGGAGTAGGGATTGCTCCAAAGAAATCCAATAACAGAAATAAGTTTTGTTTTCTCATCCAGACTGGAAGTTGACCAATACATTTGGAGGACAACAAAAGGCACAGAACAGCTCACAATGTGCAAGATCAATAAAAGACTATAACCAGCTTAGACCTAAGTTCAATTTGCAAACATTCAACCTTGCAGTGAAAAAAGAATTAATGAAAAATGCCTCTAGGCCATTTAAAAAAAACCCAGAACTCTGTGACACCATCTTTATTACATGACCCAGAAAATACTGCATGAAAAAAACTTAGCTGCCAAAGCAAACATGAGTCAGACCCCTCTCTCCTTTCCTCCTTAAAGAGAAGAGATGTCCCACCAGAAACCATACGTTCCTTTTTTACTGCAGTTTTTTAAGAATAAAGATGTATTGTTGAAAAATCTTGGGTGCTTTATAAACCACTAAAAACTCTCTCTGGAAAGTTAAGACACCTTTTCCTGTTTTATACACAGCAATGCAGTACTTCCCAATAGGTGGATGAATTCTACATAAAAATAGATCAATAATTCAACTGATATATAAATCTTCAGAAAGTAGCTGTACCAATTCCCTTCAAAGGAAGAAAATCAAAAAGTGAATTTTAGTCCCTTGAAGTCCTGCTGATCCTTTAAAACAGATAGCAAAGGCAAAAAGAACACCTTTTCATTATACATGGTTTTTAAGCTGTTTTAAAGTTAAAGAAAACTAGGATGTGGGAGTCCAACAACAGCAGAAAAATGAATCCTATTTTCTGGCCTAGTGCAAAGGATATTAAGGAAATTCTTGTATTTCCAAATGCTTTGCTTTGATCTTTTAGGTTGCAAGATTTCATACATGCCATGAAGGTATTAGAAAAGGTGTGTTACACAATGTCCTTTGGTACTTTTCTTTCAGGACATCTGGCTAGTAGAATGAAACTTATCATTTCAGGATCCAATTAGAAGAATTAATCAGGGTCCTAAAGTAGGATCAAACCTACCTATCTCCTCCTGGGGGATAACCCAAATGCTGCCAACATCATTTACCATCTTTGAAGGCATGACTATTATATATCGAAGGAGGTATATCAAAAGATTTTGCTTAATTTTGTTCCTCTCCCAGCTCTCCATTTAAACGAGTCAATGTAAAAGCATAACTGTGTCTCACACAGGCTCAAGCAGCCACAAACAACAGTTAATAGCTGATACAAAAAGCTTCTTCAGTACATTTTTTGCTGGAGTCCAACCCCTGAGTGCAACCACTGGGCAGTCTGCATAGCCTTCTATGAGCTATCTTTAATGAGGTGAAAAAGCATAGGTAACAGGAAGTGAACATACCAATGCATCGTGAAAACTCTGCTTCTAGAACATACTTCTATGATTCACAGATTTTAACACTAAAGAGCAGTAGATGTAGTAAACTTGAAAGTCATAAACCAAACCTCATTAAGAGCAACATTCACCCATTAGTATCAACATCTACTATGAATATTTTTCCAACAGCAAGGTTCCAAGAGACCGTGGGAAACCTTAAATTCTCTGAAGCAGATAAGCTGAAACATTTTAAAGCCTGTCAACTCCTGCACTGTATGATTTTCAAAAGTCATTTTCCTTTGAGATTTGAGAAATGCATTTATCTTGGTACAGAACAAGAATGGCAAAACATGAGCGCTTGAACTCTTCCCCTCATCTCCCCAAGCAGATAGACTAAATGTGTTCTAGCTGACCACGTGCACTACAAATGCCAGTATCTTTCTGTCTCTGCACGTCCTGTAAAAAAAAGCATATCCTAATAATATCTTCCAAACATGAGTATGTAAAGAAGGGAATGGGACAGCAAGCTTAAAAAAAAATAATCTTATAACACAAAGAGAACCGGAAGTTTCCTCCTGAGAACTCTACTAATATGGGAAACAACCCAGGATGATGAGTTCACATGGGCACATTTCAACAAGCCAAATGGAAAACACAATAACATTTTCATAGTTGCCTAATCTACCTGACATCTGATTCCACTGAGAGCCAGACAGACTCAGACTTTCAGGTTTATTAGGCACTTTGCAGAAGCCTGTCTGCTGTGAAATCTTATTCATAAGAATACTAGTTGAAGGAAAACAAAATATGGCATCCATGTTATTATCTCTGTGACAATTCAAAGACTTGACTTAGCTCCTGGTAGACCTTCTTTTAAAATACATAGAGAAGAAAGCAACTACTCAAGTACAGGCTCAGAACCTTTCCTCTCCCTCAAATTACTCTGAATGCTTTTCAGAGTAACTAGTATTTCAGTCACCTGTCCTGTTTCCCGTGGACCTCTGACACAGGCCTATATATCATCAGCGTGCAATAAGGACATGGAGGGAACAATCCTATCTCACTCAGATGAAAAATACTCTATGTATCTCCTCTCTGATGAGAGGAGTAATGAGGAATTAGCCCTAGTACATTGTCTCCACTGGACAGCATAAAGACATGTCTTACATTGTCTAAATCTTTTCGCAGAGCAATCTTGCTGGTCACCAGTTCATGTGCAAGATCATCATTTTCTTGCTCAAGCCTCATGTTTGCTTCTTGTAGGCGCCGGTTCTCACGCTGTGGGAAACAAAACAAAAGAAATCAAGAAAAAGGTCTTCCCAGGTGTTTGTCTATAAAACACAGTGCTTACTGTGCCTAAGCACAAATGCCTACCTTAAGTATGCAAAGACAACCCTACCTGCATGAAATTCAATGAGGACAAAACTAGCTAGCCATATTGTAAATATAAAATAAAAGTAAATAAAATATTAGCCTTAAGAAGAAACCATGTATAAATAACTCTGCTCAGCTATTACTTGTTGAGCTACAGAAATGTTTTTGAACACTGCAATAGTAGGGGTGTCATTCTGCCATCAATACATTGCCAGGAGGTTCCTACAAGTACTGATTTTCTTGGCGCAAAATAGAATTTGAATGCTGGAAACAGGTGAGAGAGGAGGATCATGGGAAAACCACTCTATTTTCTCCCTCCTGTTACAACTCCCAGCACACAGATAGAATTAAAGAAAGTTTACATAAAACTCTTCAGCTTAAAATATATAAATTTGTGTGTGTTATTGTGTTATATATACACATACATAATTTTACATATAAAATTTATTTGTCTGTTATACTTACATGATAAATAAAATATTTATAAAAATATATACTTACCATACCATACATCATTTGAAATTAGGGAGAGGAGTGAAGGCAGGATTATAATCAATGGAAGGCAGAGTTATAATCAATTGGGCATTTTCTTTCTGTTCATGGCTTTTGGTGCAATCAGCATGTTACACAAGTGCTAGAAACAGGCTCTAGTGAAACAGCTGTATAAGCCCAAATATAAATTCATACTATTCCTTTTTTCATCATGAAGCTGGGCTCACAACAACCCCATCCTGATTAACATTGCCAATATCTAGAGATTCACTTCATGTTCATGTAGCTGATTCCCCTGTTGTACCCAGACTGGTCACAAAGCAAAAATGGCTCAAAGAAAAACGAGTCGAAGTAGGAACTTCCTGCAGGTACTGTATGTTAAATCAGACTGGAGTAGGGAAGCATTACCTCATATCTTTCTATAGGATCCTCCTGTTGAGCTTGCTGCTCTCTCATGGTATGATATTCCTTTTCATATTTCTTCAGCTTCTTTTGGCTAATCTAAATTAAAGCAGCCCATTAGTTCCTGCCCAGAACATCAATAAAAGAACACAATTCACAAAGGGTTATGGTACAAGCTTTAGGCAACTCCTGCCTTCTACAAAACACAGCTAATATCTTCACTCAGTTTTGAGTATCAAACCCTCAGAAATGGTCAAAAATTCTATTCCACATAATGACAGAAGTGTCCCTTCCTCTTATCCTTTTGTGGAACATAGAAAAGTTTTTGAAAGGCATCCACAGGAGCATCCTATCTGAGTTTTCCTTGGTGCTGCGCAGCTATTTGATGCTCCAAATACTACAGTGGCTTAGCATAACAGATTGCCTCGAAACCCACAAGATGCGTTTAATTTTTGAACTAGCATGACACTGAGGTTTCTTCAGCTGCTTTTTCAGCTGTAACATTTATCATCATGCAGAAGTATTTGGTTTACTTTACATGAGACTGCAAATGCTGAAAGGGCAAGTGCAGGCTCAGCTGACATTTCTGCTAGTGTCACTCAAGCTCAGTAGAAAACAGCCCAGTCCCAGAGTTGCCTAGGTGTCTCAACAAGCAGCAACAACCCAGAAGCACGTATGCTCTGTCCCCTGCTGCTCTGGGATTTGGAAGGCTGGAATTCTGTCCACGGCTTTGACAGACACACAACACTAGGGAAGTGACCCTCTCAGGATCCCAGATTCCCCGTCTGTGAGAAGGGAGAGAAAGGTGGTGTTGAATTCAATATTTTGTGCACAGTGTTCAAGTCCTACAGGGACAGAGAACACAAGAGAACCTGTAACAGATCCTGACCAGCATCTTTCCTGGCGTCACGTGTCAACTGTGCCACATGCTACAATGGTTTAGCAACACAGACCATGCCAAGACCACTGCAAGTGTTTCACCTGCGAGTTAGTATGCATCTAAATTTAATCTCTAGTATTAAAAGTTGCTGCTGAACCTTTATTATTATTTCAGTAAACCAAATAAATTAAAAAGTTATGGCTATGTTTTCCTCTTTAAAAAAAAGCCTTGTCTGAGAAACATGTTAAACAAATATTACATGCCTAAATGACAAGCAGAATGGAAAACATGTTTAGTTTCTCTTATCTTTGGTTTTATCATTAACAATCTTACTTGAAATGAACTGTAGAAAACTGGTAGCTAGGCTCCCTCTAGTGAGAGCTGCACAGAAGCATTTCACCGTACTTCAGCTGACATTTTTTTGGAGATGCCAGCCCATTTATCTGGAGTCAGTCCAGCCATATCGCAACTGCAGAAGTTATTCTTAAGAAGCACTCCAGACAAACACCCAGAGTATTAACCCTTTACTGACAATGAAGCCAGCATCTTGAGCTGATTATTCCACTGCTCTGCCCCAGCTCAAACACTGCCGAAAGTATTGGGTTTCATGCATCAAATCACAAACTATGTGAAGGTTTGATCTTGAGAAGTGAGGCATCCAGCCCCATGAGACAAAAGGAAGGAAGGCACACCATTGTATTTTCATCTTCTACTTTTCCAAGTGCATTAAACCAGTTTTGCCTTTAGATACCAACAATGAGGTGATCCTGAGAAGATTTGCTGTTGTCACTGATTCTGGACATTGGAGCCCTCGAGGGAACCATGCCCTGGGGAAGTCAGCAAGGCCTTCGGGTTTGCATGGTGATAAAAAGAAGAAATGAACACTGAAGTCCCACCACAGTTTTTCAGGGGCACGGGAGGCAGCAGCAACTCTGTTATCATTTGACAGCAACATTGAGGAGTGACTTTAAGAATCAAGTGTTGTCTCAAGATGATCATTTACTGACCTCCTTTCCAGCAGAATGCTGTTGTAATCACAACGCCTTAGCCAGGCTACTTCTTCCTTCCTATAAATGACTTATTTTGACATCAGGCCCTTTTCTGCTCAAAAACACTTCCAGATACAGAGCCGGAGATTTCTACTGACAGCAAAGGACTTCTATTTTAGGTCAAAGAAAGCAATTATGTGCAGCACTCCCATCAGGGGCACCACACATGGATGTGACACAGAAGCGTTCAGCATCTGTGCAGAGCCCAGTCATGCAGTCTGTACTTTCTCCATAAACTCCCATTTAATCCCACCAAAACCACACAGCACTCAAGGAAGCAGTGGACAACCTTGCCGCGTACCGCTCAGAGAAGACTGTTTGCTTTAACTACTTCACACAGCACTGGGAATGCAGCAAATTTTGACAGAGTGGGAAGAAGAACAAGTTGTTATTCAGAAACATGAAAGGCAAATGCACTCATTACATATGATCTTAACCAGATGCAAGTGCAATGTCTAATCTGTGGCTGATGTTAAACGATTGGAGAGCTAAAATAGCTTGCTTTATTCTTTATTATTCTGTAATTTCTACACTAGTTTCATACAAGATACGCTTGAACTCTATGCGGAACACTGTTATGCGTACTGCTACTACACCAGGAGTACAAGATGCTTTGAATGTTAACATACTAGGGAAGTTGTGTGCTTATGCACTGATGCTACAAAGAATTCCTCTAGTGAATTTTAAGGAAGAAGGATACTTTGAGCCATACCAGTGTATTTGACTAAAAATTAATCTATGTGAAACTGTAACAAAAGAATCACAGCTTCCTTAAAATACACTGAATTATCAAAATTCCACTTTAGAACTCAATCATCTATAAAGAAGAATCAATAATTTCCTATATCTTAACTTTTTTCAGAAATTTAACTTTAAGAGCTTATTCCAAAGTGCTCATATAAAGCTTTAGTTACAGTATTTACTGATTAAAAAAGCAATTGACTTTCAGCTGTAAGGTAATGCAGTATTTGCTATATATATCTAAAGTCTTAATGTCAAAGGCTAGAACTTTCATTTCATACAGTCTTATTTAAGAAATAGGGCTTAGTGGGCAATTGAAATCTAAAAAAACCCACCATCAATCAAAAAAACCCAACATTCCACTGTTTACCTCAGTAGTTCAAACATACAGGAGAGCTCACAGAGCTCTCTGAATAAATTCTATGAAGAAAACAGGAATTACTGAGATTAATTAATTTACGGGAAAATATTTCTCCAGTACACACTGAACTCTAGTTGCTATGTTTCTATTCTATTCAGAAGAAGGCTCCTATAAGGACCAGAGATGACATTTTACTGTGATACATGGTTTCTGTTATGCAAGTCAGAAGTCTAATTATCATCAGTATTTCCTAAACATTGACTGTATGAACAGTTAATCAATGATTTGTGGGAGAAGTCAAATGGCTGTGATGACCACATTAAAAGACAGTCTAGATGAGCTTGCTAGCCTCAAAAGTAGGTCCTTACAAAAGATTCATGTTCAGAAACATCTGCACACCAAACACTGTACAGTATGTCAGAGCCCTACTTCCAACCAGAGCATCTTAGCACTTGTTTCCAGTACCCAAATGAAAAGCCAAGGAAGCCAAAACTGCAAACCTCCCACATGGGCTGCTCACGAAAAACCATGCTTTTTTGCATTATTAAAAAACTAACTGTGGCAGATCTAGACAACATACAACCCAGCCAGCACTTTGTTGAATTTCATATAAAGTAGACCCTCTTTAGATTACAAAGATCATAACAGATTAACCTGTTATTGTCAGCTACCTAGAGTACAAGTGAAATAGTCTTGCATGGGAAATTAACTTAAAATGCTTTAAAAAAAAAAAAAAGGGGGGGGGGGCATACATCCCCCACCATAAAACAATGACAAATCAAAATCAAAACCTCACACAGGGAATACATAAACCTCCCTAGCTTGACTTCTAAGAAATTTTAAATGCCAAATTATATTCCTTCATGTCCCTAGAAGATCTGTAAATCTATCAATGCATTTTAAATGAGCTCCCTACTGCAGTACATAAACATCACGTGCACCCACAGTTAAAAACAGCCATTTTCTGTCTGAAAATTTACATTCTGTTTCTGCATTATTTACTCTATTTTAAATTAAACCTCCACACTACATCTCAATGAAAGATACTACCCTGTTTGCAGCTACTATTGGAGAAAGATTTCATCAAAGAACTGCAGAGATGTCTGCAATTACTTTATATTAGTGCCATTAGTCATTTAAGGGGTTTTTTGAAGTAGTCTGATTTTCGTTAACACTGAATATTGCTTTCTGATAGCCACTCTGGTTTTGAGTTCTCCAGGTGGGCTCATATCACTTGAGAATCTTGGGGCTTTACTGTGTTTCACTGTGAAGTATCTGCAATGTATTTGCATTCGGACAAGCGAGTTGCACAGTTACATGTGGAGACAGAAACTGTACCCGTTAAAGATATGCTTGCAGTTGCTATCACCACATCTTTACCTTCATATTACATGCTAATTCCATCAGCTTTTTTGCATTTTCTTCTGAACGGTATCTCTTGGGCAGCTGTACACGGAAGAATTTTAAAGCCCCTTCAAAGTCAGTCAGTAACAAATCATCCTTCGTCGTCTAGAGACAAGGAAAGAAAACCCAGTAACTACAAAGCAGATTTTGTACAATTACTGAATTCCCAGAGACAATAAAGCAAACAACAGTTTTGTAAAGCTCCAAGAACATAACTACTTTTTAACCTTCTGCAAATAGTGTTTGTTTCTATTTCTGCAACCTTCCATTTCCCTGCCACCCCACCCCAAAAAGCACTGTGCTGTACAGGGCATGCCAGACAACAGAACATGTAATACAGGAAGTTGTTAACTTTTCAAAAATAAGCATAATATTTTTCTAACAGGCATCTTAATTTTTTGTATGGTGCATGATGATGCATAAAACACAATGTAACATTGAAAACTCACTTTTAATAATCCCAGTGCAACGTTAAAGATAACACTTATTCCCTAGAGAGAAAAATAATGACAAAATAAATTAATTTTGCAGTAGATACAAGCCTGGATATTAATTTATTTGGTGCGTTTTGTTGTTTGTCTAGTTTCTGTGAAAAGGAGAACCAGAATACAACCGTAACCAGGTGCTATATTAAATCAAAGGCCCAGAGAATGACTTTGCAAACAACTAGGAAAGTATCTTTACTGGATATCCATTACAGATAGCAAAAACAATGTTTCAACACAGGTTTTACTATCTCCTTAGTAGTTTGAAACTCTGAAATGATGAAGGCACTGTTGTGTACTTCATTTTATTTTTTAATAACTAGTTGGTCAGCTCAAGATAATTTAAATTCATACAGCAACTTCTGAAAACACTGGATTCAAATGCAGCAAAATATACATCAATATATTAAGTTCTGGTATTAAAAATTGGGATAATTCATGTAATGAAAAAGAAAGTGACTCACTTTAGGACAGAGTCCCATGGCATCTATTTTGCCATTACTGGTTAGAAGTGTTTCATTTCTTTTGTCGAATTAAATACAAGCAGTTCCTATAGTCAGTAGTAGCATACACCTTCTTAAGGGATACCTTTGATAATCAAAACACATCGCTCATCTTATTTCAAGATTCTGTCTTTGTTTTTCACACTAAATTATTCTTTCACTTTTACTTTAAAAGGACAGAAAGACCTTAAAACTTTACTATGAACACATTTACTATTTATGAATTGAAAATGTGTTTCTAAACAAATAGAACTGATTTTCTCTATGCCATCTGTTGCTTTCTATTACATTGGCACATGGACAAAGCAAGCTGCAGATAGATACAGAGAAAGGGTAAAACCCAGGAGATTTATGAATGCTGAAGCCCTTCAGTAAAGGAAACGCAGACAAACTGCCACTTCACAGTAACAACTGCAGATCCAATGAAGAATGGATACATAATGCTTATCAGCAAGTAAAAAAGTAATCATTAAATAACTCAAGGATGCTTCAGTACAAAATGTGATTTGTTCACTTATGTTAATAACCTCTGACTCAAAGTACAGTACTTACCAGCATACTACCAAATATAATGTTCTAAACATGATAAAATACTAAATGTCAGTGTAAAGAATTTTGCTCTCTAAATACGTGCTGTGAAACATAAAGAGACTTCAAGTTTCCAGGAGAAAGAGCTCCAAGCTTGTTAGATTACCAGCATGAGAGTTAACTGGGCAATTTTATACCAAATGGCCTCTATGCAATAATATTCTAGAAAAAAAATAAGTTATCATTGCATATAATACAATTTAACAACAGAGGAATCCACATATTTGTAAATTAACTCTCATCCCATAAGCACTGTACAGAATCTCACATAGGTTCAGCAGTGTTACAAGAAATAAGAGATTATAATCTTTTATACAGATAATTGACTCCTCATTTATATCTTCAAAATACTGAGAACTCTTTTTCATTGCAGAAACATAACACTTCTACATAAAAATAATTATCACATGCCTAGCTCTGAAAGAACAGATAGTAACAAGGACATGAATCAAGATAGTGAGAAACTGTCAAAAGTTGCTAGCAGTACAAGTCTCCAATTATAACACATACCTCACATAAGAGTAAGTCAATAATATGGAAGACCATGTAGAGAGGGAATTTTGCAGTGAACAGGGTAAGGAACCATTGGGAAGCATACATGTGAGCTTCAAGGCTGATGTCCAGAAAGTGGTTATACAGATCAGGAATGTATTCCTAGTAATAAAAAAACAAAACAAAACAAAACAAAAAACCAACACATAAATACTGAAAGTTAATTTATACTATTTTGGAACTGTAGCTGAAATCCCAAAGTAACAGAAATAAGTAGGGTAGTGTGACAATCAGTGCAGCAAGGCTTCTGTATCCACCCATGCCTGACAAGACAGCTGTCTGACAAGCTGAAGGACCTTCTAAGGATGCCGAAGGCTTGTCCCGGTGTGGATGCTCAGAAGGACACTCTATCACAAGCATAAGGAGTTCAATCTCCGAGCTCCCACCTTAGCAGGAAACCCAGGCAGTGGACGTGGTGACACTGCAAAGCCACTCTGTGGTGTGCCTGCAGTGAGCTCAGAAGTCACTGCTATGCCATGGCCATACGAGAGCCACTCAACTGGTCAGGCACGTCTGCCTTCAAACTTACTGCACACTGCCAGCAGCATCAGACTGGTCTCGAGTCAACATTCTCTATTCTTAAAAAAACCCCAATACAGATAGTCCTCACTCTTCATCCTTACTAAGAGGTCACAAACACTATTCACATATAATATAAATAGCTAGTTTTGAATTGCGGGCTCTGCTCCATTCACTTCATATAAGTTTGAACACCTACCTGCATGAGGCGCTCCAGCTGATAGAACTTGCAGTGCAAATCTTCAAAGTTTTGTTTGAAAAGTTCCCTGAGTCCATAATCAAACATGATTTTAACCAGAACACTGAAAGCTTGCTCCTCAGGCATCTGTGAGAGAAGAAAGTGTATTTATCACAGAGCATTTAAATCTTTCACATCAGTTCCATTTGCCCTTACTTCCCTCTTACAGAAAGGCTAAATTGTCACTCCTGTTTATTCTGGCCCTACCCAGTTTAAAAGTAAACAAAAATACTAACACACAAAATGATGTCTAGTGTGGCAAACAGCATTTCATTCTTGTTCTGTGGAAACCAACTCTCAATCGCTCGACTAAAAATATATCTTTCAGACATCAAGACCAAAGCAGTTTCTTGGTTCCAAATTGTGTCAGAATCAGAATCTTACAGAATTTTAACAGCCTAAACCTTTGTCACCTATGTAACTAAGACAGAAGCAGTATTACTAGAGGATGTTAAACAGGGATCTTTCCCTTATTCCCAACAATATATTTACCTTTTTAAATGACATTATTACATTTGATGTTTACTTATTAGCTGGCAGGAATAAGAAAGACCAGTAACTGCTAACAAAAGTTCCACATATCACAACTCAGCATTGGTTTGGGAGAGTTCAATATCCCTTTCCTGCCAAAAGCTGAAGAAACACTCATCAAAGCTCATCAGTGTTTAGACGTTTTTCCCTGACATCAAAATTCAGTTTTCATATTTCCACAGTAAAGTCTGACTTCGGGTCAATCACTTGTTCCTGTAAAGGGACAGAACATCCATCTCAAGTATTCTATTATTAATCTGCAGATGGAGTTTGTTAAAACTGAAAACTTTGCTGAGACATTCCAAACTAGTAGCAAAGGACTAGCAGAAACTTAATTTCCTTTTCTGCAACATTTCTTTTTAATATTTATTTTCCCTAGCAGCCACACTCCAAAGGCTGACTTCAAAGAGAATCAAATAAAAAGAAACTTATTTGAAATGTAGCCTTTTTAAATGGATACATTATTCCCAGAAGCAACAGCTATTGCTAAAGAAAAAACTCTAGAATAACACATGGTTCATTCTTGACAGTGAGTCTCTCTAATGCAATGGATATTAAAAAAATGGACATTATGACAATGAAAAAGCTAAAAGAAAGCATGTATGTTTCAGTAAGTGTTCAGTTCTCCTATCATAAAGTATCACCCTTCTTGATCTGATTCAGTGTAGTAATAAAGAATTAACTGCTCACCAAGTACATATTTCAGATTACAGTTACAAAGAACTAAAAGGTTGTTATCGTTAATAATTTGGCTTTTCTTTCAAAAGAATGGAGTTTACAATCTCTTCTATATCCTTCACTGACTTTACAACATTATGGAAAATCCTCCACTGAAGACCAGACTTCCTCTTCCACTGAAAACTGCAGAGGAGTCTTCATACTTAATTCTCTATGGTAGCAATGATCACTAAAAAGCAGCGGAGGAAAAGAAATCTCAAAACACTACTGGGCTTAGGAACTCTGTTCAGTTTCAACTACCCATGCTTGCAATAGAAACACTGATAAAAAGCAGACATTACTTTAAAAAAGAACAGTCTATAAATAATTTGTACAGATTTCTAATCCTCTCATATTTCCCAAGCGTGAGTGAATCTAAAACTTTTGCTTCTGATAGACAGTAACCATAAAACTCTCTAGCTTCTGAACATGCAAGCAATTAAAGGATATTACTTTGATGAGATCACTTCTACCAACAACAATTAAGTTGAAAAAAGCATAACACAGTATCTTTTAAAAAAATTAAAATATTATTGTATCCTTCACTAACCTCTCAAACCAAGAAGCACAAAGGCCTACAATACAATAGCCCATATAGGCAGCATGTTGTTTAAAGCACGAGACCTAATAAACTGCTGTCCCATCAATGCCATAAATACACTTCTATGTATACAAGACACATGGCAACTACCATCCCTATTTCTGACTGATTCCAATAGAAACATCTTCCAAAAAGCTTAAATCTGACCTTGAAACCCTTTAACAGACACATTTACAGTGTTGTCTTATACACAAATTCCATGCCTACTAGTGATCATGAGTACAAGCCTGCAGAGTTTCAAATGGAAGGTGTCCTGAAACAGAAACACAGTGAAATGAACGCTGACTGTAGAAAAGAGTCATTACGAATACCACAGTAAGTTTTAAACAATGTACTCTTCTCTGTCTAAAATCACATTATTATTGACCAACATGTAAGTGGATATGTAGCTTGCAACCCTACTAGTTCACCAGTTACAGACATTTGTTCTAGGCATGTGGAGCAATATTTATTCTTAAGCTTAAAACAAATGGGGAAAGAAACCCTACCACTTACATGTAGAAGCAGCACAGCAGCAAGAAACGACTGGCCTTGACAGTAGCCAATCTCTTCATCATAGACAGAGTAGGCCTAAAAAAAGAATCAAGAATTTACAGCATATCTAACTTGAGCTACAAACACAAAGAAAACAAACCACTGCATTGAACATAGCTCCACAAAATTTTCACAGGGTACATCAGTTGCCATTCTAACAAAGGGATAACCTGTATGAAAATCAAACTGTGATATATAGCGGCAGTGGCTGGTTACAGTGATGCACCAAGACCACTGCAGCCTATTAAGCCACTTATTGGAGTGCTTTTATGTCTAAACAGGTGCTACAGGGCCATTAGGAAGAGGGAGAAACACTAGGAACACGAAAGAGTGCAGGAAACATACAACATTCCAGCTGAGATAACTGAATACAACAACAAGCTGTCCATTTTTGCTAATTTCTTCCTTATAATAAGCCACTTCAGTGCATGCCTACAGCTTTATAACATTTATGGGAGGTACACAGTTATCTCCAGTTTTAAAGACAACTATATATGGCAACAGCAGCTTATGGCATACATTACATATAAAGGACACAGCCAACGTCAGAACATTTCTTTTTCAAGAGGCAACATCAGCATGATTTCCTGCACGTGTCCCTAACTTTGCCAGCACAACTTACACAATATTGACAACTAGGGAGCAGGCTGCAGCCAAATGTGAGCTGCTCTTTATCAGTATGGAATTAGCCCTCATCTCCATCATAGCATATAATTTGTCCAGCTTGATCCAGGCTGACATGTCTGGAATCACATGAAGTCTCTGTACCAAACTCCTCAGTGTTCAGGAATCCAGAAGGGCTTATTAGGTCTCCTATCTGAATGGCACTATAACCAGCTAAACATCTACAATGAAGAACCAGACTGAGACTAGTGCCAGAGTCTGTCTCCATGATACAGTTAACGGTAATACATACACATTCTTCTCAGGTAACAGTTACATCTGTTAATGGTGTTAAATTCAAGTTACCAAAACCAGTTAAGAACAATTTAAAGAATACCTTGCATATTTTGTACAGGGAGTCCTGGCCATCTCCCCCAGTATCTTTAAAATAATCATGAGCAGGGAATGTTCGATTGATGTCTCGGGTGATAGCACTGTCTTGTGGAGACTCCTATTAGAGGAAAAAAAAAAAAAGTAAATTAAAACACATATCAAAAGAATATAAATCACAATATGCTAGGACTGAGAGTTAGGAGATTGGCATTGTGTTCTGTGCACTGTTCTAAATTTAACAAAACACAGAACAGGCTGCCTGCAGGCTGGCAGGTCCAGATCACAATCTTGATAAATTTGGTTACCTAAGCACATCTGGGAACGGTCAGTGAGTGGCAGAAAAAGCACGCACACAAAATTGTTCCAGGACATTGCAATGCAGATAGCAGCCTTCCCTTGGAGACTTCTGAATGCGAATACTGCCCGGTCACATTTCTTCTATCTCACAACTGCAGAAAGTAACAGTCAATTGTAAGCAGCTGCATGCTGCTGTCCAAAATTCTGTCCCTTAGTTTCAGCTAGAGAAACTACTCTTCATCCCCTCCACAGAATCAGACAACAGAAAAGTAGAAAACTGAGTATGAGCCCAAGAAAGACAGTATCATAGAGTAAAACATTATACAATGCAGGGGCGGTTGCCTGTATGAGCTGGGCATTTCAGCATGAGGAAGATGGAACTTTGTTCTCTACATTGCTCTCATGCAATCAGTTTCAGATGCCTTAGACATTTGGAAAGCTTGACAATAACAAATAGCATACAATTAAGAAAACCAGTAAATGTGAACAATGGACCAAAGAGACCAATTGGAAGAAACACCACGGAAGTTTGCATCAAGGGCAAGTCCTATACAAAAGGCAGTGAAAACTCCTGGTAGAGATGAAAGGAATTTGACAAAGCATAACAATTAAATACAGTAAACAATAAAAGCTTAGGACCTTTTCCTCCTGACTTTTGAGTGATTTAAACACCAAAGGATCTCTGTGAAATCAGCTGGCAATACTGGCCTCAAATAGCCCACCTTATTAGGAATTGTAAGTATTGCTGAGGATGGCTTAGAAGGAATCCTAGTCCTACTTTGGAGAAATATCCAGAAAAAAAGTTTCCAGAATATAGAAGGAAGAGGTTTGTGTCAGGGACATCATGAGAAACCATAAGCATTTATGAACAATGTCCAGCTTAACCTGATTTGCCCTCAACCACAGATACACATTTCGAATGGGAAAATAAGCAGGTGCCATTCCCACACTGAGGTCTTCTCAGTTCTCTGTCAATATTAGACATGTGACTGAGATGTTCTGATCCATCTCATTCAGTTCAGTTTGAAACTATTTCTAGTGTAGTCATTTAAGCCAGAGCTTGTCACACTGCAAGGAAAAGTATCCTTTGGAAACAGAAAAAACTGCTCCCCCTCATTAGCAAATGAAATTTGCTTATTTAGGAAGCCAGTGGAAACAGCTCATATACATCATACCTCCTCCTTTAATTCAGAAAACAACAGTAAGAAATATGTATTTTAAAACCACACACCAAAAAGTGACACAAATGCAAAAATTTCTAACCGGGCACACAGAAAATAGCTGTCAAAAGATTTGATGCAGTTCCCAAAACCTTTACTTTACAAGGAACATTTATGCAAATTGGAAGATTAAGCAGCTTCTTCCATGTAGATGGAAATGGGTTGCTGAAAGAGGCTGTAAAGTCTCCATCATCACAGGTGTTCAAGACTCAACTCAACAGGGCTGTGAGCAACCTGATCTGGTAAGACCTGCTTTGAGCAGAGGGTTGGACTAGATGACCTCCAGAAGTCCCTTCCAACCTAAGTTATTCTATGATTAGCATACAACAGAAATCACTCATTCAAGCTATCTTTAAATCACTTAATTTACCCAGCATGTGATAGGCAATTTTAGTGTGTCTTTTGAATCTGAAATTGTGCTCACCATATTGAATTAAAAAATCTGAATTGACCTCTACAATTTCAGAACTATTTCTACAATTTTATGCCACATTTTATAATTTCTGATTAATAAATGTGTTTCACCATAATGTCTTGTACCTTTTGAGGCAGTCGTGACCCAGCTGTTATCTAGCTGATTATTATAACCATTGCTATTACCTAAATAAAACAGAAAAGCCCTCTGTTTGTCTGTAGGTATTTCTTTTTGCCTGTGATTGGTCCCTCTTTCCACTACCTAAAAGATTACTTTCCTGGGCAGGTAATGAGACCAAGAGCTCCTTGGTAGTGGGAATCATCTGAAAAGATGCCACAACAATCATTAAGAAACGATTGCTAGTGAAAGGGTCAAAGGTTCCCTTGTTAGGTGGCTTCCCTGGCAATGACTGAACACACAAAGCCAGTCTTCTTCACATGTGAGATTACCATGTAACAGTGTCCAGGTTAACATACAAGATGCTCTGCAGAAGCAAAACAGAAAAGATTTTTTTATTTTAAAAAAAGTTTTACTATATCCAAATAACCCATGTTTCTGTTTGACAAAGGGAAAAAAGGTGAGAAGTAAAATAGATCGTAAAAAAGTACATTATATAATCAGTGTGAAGATCATTAAATATATCTTTTTGTTGATCTTCTTCACAAAACGATTTTGCAAACAAGAACAAAATTACCACAGTGTGCTTGTTTTCTCTTCTGACTTTAGTCCAAGGTTAATGCTCCTCTCTGTGGCTTAATACAGACATCTCATTAGGAAAGCATTACACTGCTGTTAGAATCAAGTTACTGGATTGTTTTGGAAATCATATCAAAACTACTGTTCAGCATTTCAATTTGATAATAATTAACATGCTAAAGTGGTCCGCCTCATTATAAGGAAATTGGAAACAAACAAAATCCAATGCTAAATAAATGTCATATAAATAAAAGCCTTTTAAGTCAACAAAGACAAGTACAATAAAGGCTGGCTATTAGCTTCAGCTAGTTTTGCAAGTAGAGAGAGACAATGTTCAGAAACAATTCTGAAACCTTTAAAGGATGCGAATATAGTCTTGGTGATAACATTCTTAAAAGTTTGCAAGACTAAATTAAAGTACTCTGCTTTGCAGGAGCACAGGTACTGTTCACTGCTAATAGCAATTTGTGGTACCAAACAAGCGAGTTTCCTGAGTGTTACCTGTGTTCTGCTGCAATGGCAAAATAATCTTAAATCCACTTGCCTTTATTCCACTTATTTAATAGCTAAGACCAAAGCATCTTGTTGGAAACTCTTAGGATAGACTTCTCAAACAAATCAGTCATTGTGGCTAAAAAGAACTAATTAGTGGTCTCTCTCTGGCTTTGCGTGACTTGTTCAGCACTTGACTCCTATGTTTCAGTACAATTCTTCCAAGTAATCTGTAACGCTAGTTCCTGCAGCTGAAACATAGCTTGGGGAGAGAAAAATTAACGGAAATGATAAGGTTTAAAAAATGTTTTTCAATCCCTGGCTTTGAAATCTCCCCATTAGTACAAACTGCTGCAATCCAAGCATTGTGTAACCTTTTCTTTACTCCTATTTTTATACCTTGCTGTGAGAATTGGCTCAATGGGCAATTTCTCATGCTTTCAGGGGACTGGGAACTGAAGGAAACCCTTCTGAACCCACACCCTTCACAAACTGGGATTGAAAAATAGAAAGCTAAGAATGACAGGAAGAAAAAGAAAGTAATAAAGAAAACAGAATGGAAAACAGCCATGAGAACTGAGGCAAGTGTAGTGAAGATTAAAATTCTCACAACAGTTCACTGCTCTGAAGGAAAGCAGGAAAATGTAGATGCTCAGACTAAGAACATACCCTTCCTCCCTCTTTTTTATGCGCTTTAAAATATATGGGGAGTTATACTGAAACCTTTCTCTACAGTTGACTTAAAAAGAAACTACATGAGTAATTATGGAAACCAGGACACAGTCCAGTAGATAAAAGCTCATCTATTATACCAGCCTGTATATAAAAGCATATTGGTTCCCACCTCCTAAACTGTACACACTTAAAAGACATTTTCCTTGTATTTTTGTGATCTTCCAGGGACCTTCACAGGATTTGCAAACCATATCATGCAGTTACAACCTCGATCAACATCTTCAGACTGAGACTGTGTTACTTTAGAAGCTCTTTCTGTAGCTTAAGCCACAATTAAAAGACATGGAAGAGCTGGAATTCCTAGTACCTCTTCATGGGGCTGATGTACTTGCAGTTTTCAGCAGCTCAGGTTTATTCCTCATAATCCCCTACATAAATCCAAGAGGATGAAGAAGCAGCAGCAAAGAATTGCTGAAGGGACCAAATCTGTGATAAAAGAACCTGCAATAGTAAGTCTCCAGAGAAGCAGAGGAAGTTGCCTGCTGGAAATGGCTTGCCACACAAAGATCAACTCCAGCCGCACCAGGCTACTGGAGAAATCTGATGGGGGCATAAAACATCAAGCCTTTACCTAGACACAGGCTGACTTCAAAAACAATATAAAAATTGAAAAATTGTGAGGTCCAAACTTCAAATTCCTCCCTGCCCCCACCCCAGAATTATTCAAAATATGGAAGTTTGCTCACTGGGGTGAGTTATCTGACACACTCACCACAAAAAACCCAAAACTCTGCTTGATTCTCGCTCTTGCCACAATGGCACTGATTTTCACATTGCAATTATTTCTTAGGAGGGTCCCACTGACTTTGCAAGGATTTTGTCACACGGTCAGAGATTACTGTGAGAAGGGTCTATAGACTCAATCAGTCAGTGGAATTTTACCTGCTTTGCCCAGGGTCAGATCAGCACAGGGCATGTTTTTGCAATGCAACTCTGTGCAAGGCACAGACAAGCCATTCAAGAGAGTACCAAAAGCCAGCTGACAGCTTTCAGCAGTTGCAACAAGCAGAAAAAGCCAAAACTCTCTGTAACTTTCATGGGCAGTAACAAGGGTAATATTACACAATGGGGATAAGTTATTTTCAGCAGATCTGTACATTTTAAGTACATCCAAAAATATTAAAAGGTCTTTCGATAGCTATTTTCAATGTTAGTAGGATACCATGTCAGCAGGTCTATTTTGCAGGTTGATGGCATTCCCAAGATTACTTTTAATAAGCAATATTTACACTGACTTTTACACAGAGGGCATTTCCTGCATTT